AGCACAGAGAAAAGCTGAAAGAACGGTACAATAAGCAACCAGATGCCTTCCACCTAGATTCAACAATTGTCAATATTCTCCCAAATATGTATTATAAGAAAAATGTTTTAAAATGGAAGAAAATCCAGTAGAAAAGGCAAACCTGATGGTGAACAGGGAAGATCTGCTTAAAAGACCTCAGTGAGTAGGGAAAAGGGATGGGATCTAGTACACAAACTGGAAGGACTGGCTTTTACTCTTAGTGATAAGACAGAAAACTGAACTTGAATGTAGGTAGTAGGTAGATTAATGTTGTGGTGGATGCTTCTAATTCTTAGTGAAATGGCAAGCTGACTGTTCTTGGATAACAGGTGTTAGAGGTTGGAGGTCAGAGGAAGTGATAGTGTCTAGGAGACAAAAAGCTATAGAACGGAAAGTATGAGGAAAGTATGACTTTCCACTGTAAGACATTAAGGGCCCACTTAAGGTTGTTGAAAGGACTGACTAAATTGGAGAAACAGCATGGCGTAAAAGGTTAAGGGAATGCACTCTGACACATAAGTGCCTGGGGCAAGTTACTTGACCTTTCCATACCCTAATTTCTTCATCAGTAAAATGAGGCTAATAATAGGATCTATTTCACAGGGTTGTTGAGGTTTAAATGAGGTTGTATATATAAAGTACACAGAGCAATGTCTGGCATGTAGTAAGTACTATAATCACTAAATACATTACAATATATATAAAAAACCATAGAACATAGTTGGTATTTTAAAAAGAGGGAGAGAGTTATCAGTATGTAGCAGAGCTGGAGTCTTGACCAGTAAAGATGTTTAAAATAAGAATTAGTGAAAAAGGGCAACACCAGTAGGATTCCATATTTAACAACAACAACAACAAACCATTGTGTTTAATATTAAAATAATGAATTGTGAAATAATACACAATACACAAAAATATTAATGGTAAGTCTCTCTTGATGGTAGATTACTGGTGGTTACTTATGTTCACATTTTCAAAATTACTTTTATTTTGAAATTAAGAAAAACTGCAACAAAAAACAATGTAGAGTTCACTCAGTCTCACCATAATCAATCCTGTTAATTTCTTTACACATTTGCCTCCTGTTTTTTTTTAAGTTTATACTTGTAAAAAGGTTATGAAAGTAAAACATAACTGTAGAATCATTTTTATTAAAAGATAATCATAATGTTACAGGTAAAGCTAAAACACTTCTGCTTGACAGCTGCCTCCAACTTGACCCCTTGTGCCATTCCTGGAGACAACCACTATTGATTGAGCTTGGTGTGTGCCTTCTAATCCTTACTTAAAAATACTTTTACATATAAATGATTGTATGACTTTAAAAATCCAATATAAAATATGTTTTGAAAAGGGACATATGTAATACTTTCAACAATAAATAATTATAAATATCAACATTTAAACTTTTTTTGTTATCAAAAGTTTATTTTAAAGCATCTTTTCTTAGTTCATGGATAGAAAAACCTCCTTTTACAGCTGAGAAAACTGACAGTTTTTGCGGGGAGGGGTATTTCTTTCCTTGCATTGTTTGTTTATTCCTAGTTGCCTTCCCCCTTCCCCCATTGGTTTGGTCTTTCGCATGGGCATCAGAGACTTTCCCTCTGATGTCTGTTGTGAGCCAGAGATGATTGCAGACTGAGTGAAGGACTAAAAAGCTGTCTGAAAGCTTTAGCATATAGTTGGGCTGTTTTTGAACTTCCCTATACAGTGATCTAGGTCAGTGGTCAGCAAACTCATTAGTCAACAGAGCCAAAAATCAACAGTACAACGACTGAAATTTCTTTTGAGAGCCAAATTTTTTAAACTTAAACTATATAGGTAGGTACATTGTTATTAACTTAATTAGGGTACTCCTAAGGCTTAGGAAGAGCCACACTCAAGAGGCCAAAGAGCCGCACGTGGCTCGCGAGCCGCAGTTTGCCGACCACGGATCTAGATGGACTTCCTGAAGTCACCACCTTTGGGTCTTTCCTCTCAGTTGGTAAGATTCTTCACAGAAGACTCTTCCAATGTTTTGTGTGAAGGGGAGAGTTTAGCTGCTAGCATTCTGGGAACCAAATGAAAAGAGAGTGCTGAGGAACTCCCTATTCATTGTTCAGTAAGGAGTCAGCCCTATTTCTAATAAAGTGCCCATTTCATATCCCCAGTCCAGAGATAATTGTTTTTCTCTCTCTAGAGAATAAACTTTCAGCCTACTGCCAGGGTAGGGATGGGACAGTCACCCAGTGCACAAAGCAGATGAGATTTGAGTTTTCCAGATAGGCCTTTTCATTTATGTCCTCTCCCTCCTCCAGAAATACCTAGCACTGCCAATTCTTGAGACTTTTGAGGATTCTGTGGTTAAATCAGGTTAGTTTTCATTTCTCCATGGCCAACTAATGATTTCGCTTTTTTATTAAGTCCATGATTATTTCTCCATTTGTTTTCTAGCTTATAAGATGTTGTTGCTATTATTTCCTTTCTGTTATCTCCAACCTTATATGTTTATGCTTTAAAAAAAGAATCCTTTATTATAGTTTCAGTGGAGTTTCAAAAGATAGCATAAATCTGTCATCTTACCTGAAGCCCACATAGCTATTTTATTTATTCTATTTTTAGCTTCATTGTGGTAAACTATAGGGTACCTCCCCCTCAAATGTATACACACTTTAAAGCTGATAGCTCAATTTTGAAAATGAAATATGTATTAATAAACTCTTGTTTATAATTATTCAAAGTGTGTGTAGACATTTTTTGGGACACTATATCTATATCTATATCTATACCTAGATATAGATATATGTGTATATATCTATATATATGTCATAAAACTTCCCATTTTAACATTTTTACGTGTACAATTCAGTGACATTAAGTACACTCGCAATGTTGTGCACCCACCACCATCTATCAAAACTTTTTTATTATCCCAAACTTCATTTGTTTTCTTTAATTTATTTCAGCAATGTTTTATTCTTTTAGAGTACACTCTTTAATCTCCTTGGTAAAACTTATTCCTAAGTATTTTATTCTTTTGGATACACTGGAAATGGAGATTTTTTCTTTTAATTAATTAATTTAAAAAAAATTAAATTTATTGAGGTAACAATGGCTAATCACATTATATAAATTTCAGGTGTGTGATTTTATAATATGACATCTGCACACTCTATTGTGTGCTCACCATTCAATACCTAGTCTCCTTCCATCACCTTGTATTTTACCCCCTTTGCTGTCCTCATCCTCCTTCCCACCTCCATTCCCCCCTGGTAAACGCTACACATAGAGCCATGTTCTACATTCATAGCCAGGTATACTCATTGTATATTGATTGCTACTTAAAATGCAAGCAAAGTATTTCAGAGTAGATAAATAGACTTCAAGGGTTTACACTTACAGATCCCAAACTGAAAGCAATGGAAAAATATTGCTCCATTCACCAACTATTCCCCAGACTACAGAACTATTCCAATTTGATAGTGTTCTTCTCTACTGTCATTTCTTGTCTTAATCAATACTGGCATTTGACTGCCCCATCACTGTTTCTAAAAATAATTTTCATTACTATTCTTTGCTGCCTCTGTTTATAGCAAAAGCTTTTCCCCCTCTGATATCCTTTTATTACTTTGTGGACTATTTTTCCTTTCCTTGACATTTCTCAATTTTGGCATGAGAAGGATTTGGGTTCTTTTTTCTAAAGGGTGACCTTAACGATAATACTCAGTTAATCCTTAACTTTTTATTTCACAGAAAAAATTCTGAGTACCTATCATAGGCCAGGCCCTGTGCTAGGCATTAGGGATAAAACAATGAACAAAACAAAGCCCCTGCTCTCATATAGCTTCTATTCTAGTGGGAATGTCAGACAATAAACTAATATGTCATATGGAGTTGGGTGTTAAAAATACAAAAACAAAGATAGGGGTGCAGAGAGTGACAGGGTAGGGTAGGAATATTAGTTAATTATATAAGGCAGTGATTTTCAACCATTTTCATCTTATGGCACACATAAGCTACTAAAATTCTTCAGCACACCAAAAAATATATTTTTTGCAATCTGACAAAAACAAAGGTATAACTTTGATTTATTCACACTGAATGGCTATTGTGTTGGCTGAACTTTTTTTACTTGATAATCTAAAGGAAAAGAGGTCGGTGCATGTTTTGGTATTGCATGTTTTAAATCTCTTGCAGCTCACTGGTTGAAAATCGCTGATGTAAGGTGATCAGAGAAGGCTTTTATTAAAAGGTGACATTTGAAGAGAGACATGGGGAGAAAGCTCCACGGATATTTGTGGCATGAGTATACCAAAGAGAAAATAACAAGTACAAAGGCCCTGAGGAGGGCGTGTGCTTGGAGCAGGGTGGTGGAAGTGGGGGGTGGGGAGTTAGCTTTGTCTCTCTCACAATGTTCACTATATTTACTATGATTTACTCTTAAAAATTTTAATATAACCTTTCAGATTTGAACAGATTCAAATTCTGGCCTATGGTAAATTTTATAAAGTTACTTTTATCTTTTAAATTACAGAGCATAATTCAGTGGATATGAACAACTCAACTTGAAATCCTCACAAAGGACCAGAATATAGATTTTCATTTTACTTTATTGTATGCAAATGAAAATATGGGAACTTGTAGAAAATAATTTGAAAGAATAACTAACAATTATTTTATATTCTTCTATAACTGCTAATGATTTTTAGTGGTCTTTTGCTCGCCTTTTTATTTTCTGAACCATTACTGCTTAGCTAAATCACTGCATGCAGAACATAAATTTGCAGTCACATATTTATTATTAAATACTTTGTACGTTTTGAAGACTGTAAAACAGACTATTTCTTAGTATCATATTACAAGCCATTAGTTAAAAGTGTCTATATGTTGTTAGACAGTAATTTAAAAAACAATCTAAAAGATTATCAGCTGAAATCTTTAAAACACCCTCAATGGTCTTCAAAAGTAATTTACAAGAGATTTAACAGAATGGAACTTACTCCATGCCCTGTGCAGTCTGCCGTGCAATATCTATAAGTTTGATCATCTCAAATTTGGTCTCAATGATGTGGAGATGGTGATATAAGCTGGAGCCCTCACACCACTGGGTAACAATAGCCAGTTGTGGCTTTGTTGAATAGCCCATGAAGAGTAGAATATTTACATGTCGAGTTTTCCTATAAAAAGAAATGCGAAAGTAAACACTAAATGTCGATAAACTTCAGCAAATCTTTAAAAAAGGCCAAAGAAGTCTACTTATCAGTAAGATTTTTGTCAGAAAAAGGTATTTTAAAAAAGGCAAAAGAAGGAAAAATTTAGAAGAGATTTTAGTAATTGTCTAGTTTAACATTCTACTCTTTTCAGAAATATCTTTTTAAATATACTAAACAGGCAACTAGACGTTGCTTAAATACCTTCAATTATGGAAAGTTCATCACTATTCCTCCCCTGCCCTTTTTTTTAAGTGGTTCTAGTTTTAGATTTTTGGTTAAGAAAGAATCATTTTCCTACGACTTCCCCACTGGCTTCCCTGTTGTGCTCTCTGGGCTAAGAGTCTTTATGGAACATAAGAGCTTTCTATGGACCCAATATCCTCAGTTCTGTTTATTACTTTGCCTCCCCTGCAGTTCTAGAATCGTCCCCATTTAGTTGTCCTTGCCTATACATACTGCAGTTTGTTAATGTTCCTCAAGTTCCAGGGCATGACGTAGTATCTAAATGTGTTCTGGTAAGAATCTTGGGAGTATTATTTACATAAGTGGAAGTATTATTTTTCATAATCAGAATACTACATTAATCCATTCTAAGCTTAATTCTCCAATCAGCTGTACAATATAATATTGCATAACACTTAAAAGAATATGGTTAAAGTTAAAATCTACTCAAACTCTTTTTATCCATTTTGAGTAAGTATAGCAAACAGTGGCAACCACTGGAAAACAGGAGTGAAAGAAGATACTGTCTCTGGAAAACAATAGTTCATACTAACTCACCTGAGTACTCCTACTTCATTCTTGAAGGCCTGTAACTGCTGAGGTGTAGGTGCTGTCACATTCAACATTTTCACTGCCACATCACCTGTAAGGTGTCAATCCAAATGTCATTTTATTTTTTAAGATTTAAAAATATTAAAAACTCCTGTGTATTTTCATGAATTACCACAGCCTTAAATCCACACCATTATTAAACTGCTTTATGATATAACTTATGAAATAAATTATATCATACCTTCCTTAATTGCATTAATTTTCTAAGGATAACACTAAACCAACAATAATACTCTTATACTGATATTTCAAAATACCAATCCAAACAAGATAGCCAACCTTGTTTTTCATCTGGAAATTTAATTTAACCAGTTAAGTACCCATGGTATTTTCCAGGTTACTTAACAATATTAAATTAGACACATGTACTGACTAAATGTTTAAACTAACAATCACAGGTCAGATGGAGCTAGGCTGAAATAGAAAACTACAAAACTTCTTTATTAGAGTACCTAACATTTTTTTCAAATCTACAGATCACTTGTTGCTTTGCTTAGGCAAGTTATTTTTTAAAAAAACTTTGCCCTAGACAGTTTGGCTTGGTGGATAGAGCGTCGGCCTGTGGACTGAAGGGTCCCAGGTTTGGTTTGATTCTAGTCAAGGGCATGCACCTTGGTTGCGGGCACAACCGCAGTAGGGGCTGTGCAGGAGGCAGCTAATC